ATTCTCTTCAAGTACATAAGATACAATGCCTTTGTTTTTTTTGTCCTGAAACATAGGTATGTGTTTCATTTGCAACACTAGGCCTCACTGCTGAAACCGTCTTCTCAGATAACTCCATATTAAAAAAATTAAAAATATTTCCATGATCAAGAAATTGAACGTGATTTCAGTGGAGTGGAAGCAAATAATATTACGATGCAGCTTATGCATAGGGTTTTGTAGTAATTAAAATACAATGAAATATGAAAATGTTGAATGTGAGCAAGATCTGTACACCACTAAATATTCAAGACACTAAGATTAAAAAAAAAGCAGTAAGCAAAGTGTGCATGAACAGAAAAAGCAAGCTAAATGCTGTGTGTAGTGGCTTCCTATTAAAAGGAACAAATAACCTACTTTTCTTCCTTGATTTATTCTAAATCCGGTACTGTGGTATTGCATCAAAAGCCTGCACGTAAACCCTGACTTTAGCTACAACCTTTTAGTGGTTTTATACCACTGTCAACTTCTCTGCTTAATGTAAAGCTGAGTTAGCCTATCATCTGTCTCTTGGCATTCATGTGATGTTGTCTGAGATGTTTTCTCCTGACCATACTCAGAGCTAATAAACATTTTCTGTACTCATCTTCCCACAGCATTGAAAGCAAGAGTCACACAGTCCATCATGGGTACCTTGGTGAGTGTTCTGTACTTTGCTCCACTGACACAAATGTATTTGCACATTTATTTCTTCTCTTGTTTCCAAGGACAAGACTGGCTAATATTAATGATATGCACAGTAACTTCCTCTCAGAGCTCAGCCTCACAGTGGAGATACATTTGGTTTTGAATATAGTTCTTGTCCAAGGGACCAGGAGGAGCTGAACTGTTTACAATGATGTTTGCTGTTTGCTTAATGAAGGTACTAATAACACTACAAATCTGAGCAGGTTTTGGAATTCATTAGTTTGCACAGGAATAGAAATAATCATCTCTCAGCAACATTTGATCAAATAATCTATCAATCAAAGGAGCTGTAGCCAAACACCTTTCTGTCTTTGAGGATTAAAAAACCACAGGAAAACAGATTGTGGCATTGAATCCATATTGGTCCATATTGTTTATTACATAGGAACTTCAGTTTACAGTTTCCTCTTATATTGTTGGTTAGCCTCCCTTGGATATTTTCTTGCTGGCTGTACTCTTAAATCTATCTGCAGCTCACAGATATTCCTGTACATTTTGTTCATTTCACTCTAAGCTCCTTATTCCTTACTAGAAAGAATATTTTTAATGACAGATTTAGTGTAGGCTTGATGCTTATAAACATGAATTTGTGAATGCAGAAACAGATTTGCCTGATTTCAAAATATAAAGACAGTTACAACTCTTCTGTCATTTTCTATTAAATTCCCCAAAAGGCAGTGAGTTTTTTCTCTGTAGATCACCAGGAGACTATATTTTCTATAGCCCACTCTGCAGAATGATGTCACCTCATGTTTTGTTTAACACCTGGCATGTTGCACAGTCCCATATATGTTACACATAACTGGACAGCTTTAATGAGTGATTGCCTGGGTGTGTTTCAGTGTGCTACAAAGGTACAAACTGCAGTTCTGGTTAAATTTTACTTATTTTAGTGAATTTCTGCAGAAAAAAATCCTTACTACACTGGTAAGATGACAAGGTTGTATATTTTTAATAGAAACTGCAGTGAACAGAAATGGCAATCTATCCATTCTGATCAAAAGCTAACGACTGTAAAATTTTCTGGTCAACCTTTGGCATAATTTGGGGAAGTTAGGGCCAATTCACTCGCCATGAGGCATCTCTGGCCTTTAGGTTCCCTAGCATTTTTGACACCCATCACCTCAGGGAGCCAGTTCTCACTTTACCCTATTTACTGGCTGCAAAAGCCCCATTTCTCATTCTGTTACACTGCAAGGGGTAAGTGCGAAGCCCTCCTCTTCCTCCTTTGCTCCCATTCATCCTTACATCCAACAGCAGACAGCTTGTGCAGGGCACTATTGCTAGAACCATCAGGAGCCTTTGCATCTGCTGCCTTCCTGAAATAGAAGGAAAATATAAATATTTGGCCCCGAGATAATTTATTTATATGGGAACAGAAATTCATTTCAGAGAATCCATGTCAAGGACTCCCATGAGTCTTTTAGACACCCCAGGATTACCTCCAAGAGAGCAGGGACTTCATTTCAACTGTAAACACGTTTGCAGCTCACCACAAACATGTCAATAATGGTAACAAATGGCCCCACTATGTGTCGTACATCGAGAGCCAGGGGAAGCGCGTGCGAAAGCTATTTTTAGAGATCAGGCAGGAAGACTCATTTTACTTCATGAGTAACACAAAGATTAAAACAACTGATTTTTAAAAAATTGTTCCCAGTTTGGGAGGTGATGTATCAAAAATTTTTTGGGAGTAAAGGGGGAGAAAAAGGAGCAATGAAGTGCTGTTTATCCTGCCATTATCTTACCAGCCTGTGTTTCTTTGGACAGTAATCACGGGACCCAGATGCTAAGGGTAAGTGATATTTTCCCACAAGCAGTTTCTGGCTCGTTGGCAGCTTTTGTAGGCAGTTGTGTTGGCAGCCTTGGAGCTGCCTCTGGCTCTGTTTTGTGGCTTTGCTCTTGATGGGCTGCCTGGGCTGCCCTGTGCTGCTGGATGCCATTTCCCTCTGTCAGCCCATGGGCTTTGGGCAGCTTTGCACTGCACAAATCCCCTGTGAAACGGATAAATGGGCTCTTCTAGGGCAGAGAGGGAATCTGTTCCCTGGCTGCTGTAGACATTAGGTGAATTACTGCTTCAGGTACCTGGGGAAACTTTGGCCATTTTGCAATTTTTGGTTTCCCTAAGCTGAAATATTCATCACAAAGGCAGAGGCAGGTACAGCCCCAGGTACTAGTCTTAGTCCTCGCCCCCCCACCCCTGCTTTTTTTTTTTAACTCTTTTATATCTACTACTCTATCTGTGGTTTGTGCAAACACTTTGACTGTCCTCTCTTTATGACATATTAACAACAACACACCATCAGAAAGTCAACACAGTATCTCAAATATAACTATAAGATCAAAAAAAGATGAGTTCTGTACTTCACACAGAAATGGCAGATTATTTTTCTCCCACTTTACCTGTAATTCAACAGTGCTTTAAAATATAAAGAAGATGTATAAAATACAGTTTTAAGTAATTCTGCATATTCTGTATTGAACATGTGAATACATCTAAAAATCTCTTCAAACATTATTTCTTCTATTAGATACATATGCTGCTATGCAGCCAATATAAAATATTTCTTTTTAAAATGTTTCATTGAACAACATCCGAAGAATTATATTTATAAAACATACTCATAAGTAAGACTTGGGCTTTTTATTCAATCAGCTAATAATATTATATATTTTTTGCATTGCTTCCCTGTTTTTGCCTAGCTGATTTGAAAAAAAAATACATTTCTTGAGTGGTGATTAATTTCTCCTTTGTGGATTTCTAACTCCCAGTTTATTAATTCTGGATTGTATGTTATAATTAGTAAATTGCATATTTGTGAATTATTATAATAAAAAATGCAGCAAATTCGATTGCATTCTACTGCAGCTTCACCTGCAAAAGCAGATCTGTTGAGATTTTTCCCCCTGGGTGCTTCTATGCACTTTCTATTGTGCTAGTGCCCAAAAAGCTGTCAGATCACTTGTTAGATTTGACTGGAATTGTGTATCATTTTGAGATCACTTTTGTTCACAGAATTTCCTGGAAATTCATATACTGAAAATGTTTATTAATTGGTATTTCATATGCTGTTTGTTTGGATTTTTAAACAGTAATAATGAACTCAGTAGAAATAAGAAAACAAAAACTCTCTCAACCAATTTGTGTGAGCTGTTTTACACTTTGATGTCACCAAATCTGTGTAATTCTATCTCTACCAGGAAATTACCACATGCCAGAGATTCCTCGATGAAATGCTGACAGTTCATATTCCTAAGAATCTATGATTCTTAAAATTTATTTTTATTAGACTGACATCTAAGACCACTGTGGATATCTTGGTCATTGTGAACTGATTGGCAATAATTTTATCCAACATTAATTCTGTGAGTATCTAAAGGAAAAATTGCTCCTCGTGCAATGGGGTGGTCTTGAGTTAAATTTGCCATTTTTTTCTCTGTTTTAATTCAAATGCAAGTAAAGGATATTCTCAATCTAGGCATATTTGCAACATGTTTTTCCTCCAATCCAGTTTTATCAATTTGCTTTCAGGACACTGTGACTTGTGGCAAAATCTTTGTGATGAGAAGTCCTTGCTGGGTTCCTGCTGTTTGAAGGTTTGTGCCTGTTACCTAGAGTTTGCAGAACTTCACTGCACTGCACTGCACTGTTTGCAGACAAATAGACTGTAAGCTATTTGTCCTGTAGTTTCTAAAAGTTAGGCATGAAATGCTGTGAGACCAGTGGAAATTGTCATTTCAAATGTTTCCAGCTTTTCTGCATAGGTGAGCTTACACTACAAAAAACCAAACCAAAACATGAAACAAACAAACCAAAACAAGAAACAAACGGCAAAGAAACAAACAAACCACAAAGAAACAAACAAACAAAAATAAATCCCAAACAAAGAACTCCACCAAACCAAACAAATAAAACCCACTAAAAGCAGCAAAGTCTAAAGTTAGCCCTGCGCTGTGGGCACAGTTGTTGGACATACCCCTGAACTATTCCTGGAACTGCACTTTCCAAACAGAATCCCTTTCTTTAAGGAAATACCTGAAGGATAACATTAGTGTTTCACACTGTCCGTCCCCACGGCCGCTGGCTGCAGTTCTTTCCTCACTAACCGGGTTTAACTAACGGGGTTTGCTCGTGTTCCTCCCTGCAGCGCTGCGGTTCCCCGGCGCGGCCGAGGCCCGGGCCTGGCGCGGTGCCGGCGCGGCCGGGCCGGGGCGAGCGGCGCTCGGGGCCGCGGGCCCAGGAGGGGTCACTGTAGGCACTGCGGGCACTGTCGGCCCAGGAGGGGTCACTGCGGGCACTGTGGGCACCGCCCGGGCGAGCTCCAGCAGCCGGGCCCCGGACCGGCTGCCGTGACCGTCGGGGGGAGCTGCCCTGGGCTACACCTCCCTCCCTGCCCTTCCCGGCAAAGGTAACCGGCGGTAAATCAGCTGGTGCATTGTACCCTGTTTTGGACCAATAGAAATTATACAAAAAGATAGATATTCGGTGCTGGGTCCTGTGAGAAATACAAACTAATCCAGGATTGTTAAAATATTTTTTTCTTTTTTCCCCTCTTCTTTAGGTGTTTGTAAAAATTGTATTGGGTCAGGGAGGAATTGTCCTGCTATAACTTTTTCTTTCATTTTAATACTTTTCAAGTTGAAGGGCAGATGAATTTATTTAAATGTTAAGCATTTTGTAAATGTTTATTATAAATGTAAATTTTACTAGCTAATACTCTAAAATATTTGATATTTATTAAATTGTCTTCTATTGAGGAAAAAAAGTGTACTTACAGATCACACAGGGGTTGAAAATTTAACTGTAAGTATAATATAAATAACCTGTATTAATTCCTAAGAATTCCTAAGCATTTACTAGAGACTGTAGACTTAAAAAGAAAATAATAGTATTAGGAGATGCCATGGTGTGTATTCTACACAGAAAAAATTAATCTTAGTCAGTTAGCCTAAGATTTTGGAGCAGCCTACCACAATCCAAGGTAAGTAGGTTCCCTTGTAATTGTTTTTTCCATCAATATTTTGCAGTTTGTTTTTATAATCGGTGTCTTCTTTAACTTTGGGATTCATTTCACCAAATCTGTCAGTTTGCCCATTCTCCATGTGTTTTGATGTTTAGAAGTTTCCTATCTTCACAGCAATAACTTACAACCTAGTAAGTTGCATTCTCTGCCTAGTAGGTACTTTTTTATTCCCATGGTTTGTGGTTGGTGAGTAGAATTAAAAAAAAATTAAAGGAAGAAAGTCAATTTAGTTTTAAGTGTCTTCAAACTCACACAGCATATTTTTGTTTAAAGGACACAGCAGAAACTTTTATTTTCCAAACAAAATTGCTGAGATTAGCACAAAGCACACTGACCATTGCCTGAAACATTAAATTTTACCCAAAAGGGGTTTTTAAAAGTTCTTTGTCTTTATCCTGTCACTGTGGAAAGCCCACAGAAGCAGGGATCCTCTATCATTCAATAAGTTCCTTTTCTTGTGCTCTTGATTTCATTTCTCTGAGCTTTGATGTATATTTTACTCCAGTTGTGAGGAATGCATATATAAAATGCCACATGTATATGAGAATTTTAAGTGTAAATGGATTTAAGTCCCAACTTTAAGGAGAGCCCTGTCCACAAAGAAAAATGATTACCCATTAATTTTTAGACCTATAATCTTAAAATGTTTCAAAATGTCATGGAGGCAAACACATCACAGCCAGGATAAACCTTTCTAGTCTTCTTACTTTTTTAAAACAGCAAAGTTATACCTTACATGATAGCTTCAAAACACAATTATCCTGTGTTTTGCGCCATATATTTATCAGTAATCCATTCTGTGTGCAACTTTAAGATAAAAGCTTTGCAGCTACTCCACTGCTCGCTTTTCCAAGTCACTCAAAAATGGAAAAATTGCAGCTGGAGAGGCTGGCCAGTAGAGGCCTCTCTAGATTTGCCTTATGATTAAGAACTCTGCCTGGAATCAGTCGCAGTGAGCAAAAGTACTTGAAAAGATTCTGTGGCGTGGAGGGGGAAAGATCACTTTTTAATGCCCTTTTAAGTTGTAAGATGTTGATTAATGTTGCCCTTTACATTAATGATGATTCAAGTAAAAGAAAACAAATTTAAAATGGATAAATTCTATTGAGGATGCATTAATTAAACAGAGACTTTACCATATGCTGTGGCTGGAGTGCTTGCTGGCCTTTCTGTTGTTGTTACCTGTGTAAAATCCACCCCATCCTCTACATGAATGCCCAAGCTGAATAGCCATTTGAATGCAAGCTTTAGTTTGATTCGCCATACAAGGGGTACTGTGTCACTGTGTTTTCTTTCTAGGAGTCACTAAGTGATTTCTATATCTGTTGTCATGGTGATATAGCAAAGCAGGGGAAAATGGGGGCAACTCCAGGCTTTCTCTACACCCTCTGCACTAAGAACTAAGATGTTGTTAGCAGGCCTATAAAACATTGGGCTTTATCTGGGCCTTCTTTTTGTTCTCTGATTGTCAATAAAACTCATTTTAAGGGTAACAAGGACATCTAAATGTCATCTGTCACAGTGTTAGAGAGATTAAGTTTGTTTAGGAACTTGTGCTGGACAAAAGGCCACTATTTGTTCGGCAGATACAAAGCGGTGTTGGCCATCAGGAATTGTGATTTAGAAGGAGGCTGCGTGGAGCATCCAGGAAAGATCAGCTCAGTTGCAGGTGATAGTAAGAGGCTCCTTGACATGACAGCATTTAAAACACCACCAAAACAAATACAGTTTTGAGTTAGGAGCGGGTTTATTAGGGTTTTGTTCTCTTGGGCTGGTTTTTTTTTGTAACTCTTCAGCTTTGTAGACCGCATGTTACTGGAGTAGCTGCATAGACCTGAGGGAAGAAAACAGCCATTGACAGAGGATGGCCTGTTTAAAAACATGACACACACACCTGATAGTCCTTGAATGAATTAGAAAAGAAGAGAGAAAGGAGGTTTTTCATGGAAAATCCAACAATAATAGGTGCTGCTTTAACTCAGCATTTACTTAATAATGAGGCTAAATGGAAAGTACAGATTAATGAAGACATTGGTGTTATTAAAATCAAATCCTGCGGTTTATATGCTTTTCTTAATAATGAACATTGTGGCTATTGGAGAGGAAGAACAGGATTTTTTCTATTAATTTGGCACACATCCCAGATCTCATTCAACCAGAACCTATCCTGTGCAAAATGCAACCGATGGCCTTTATGTTCCACAGTCTTGCTGTTTAATATTTTTGTTAATCCAAAAAAAAGGCTTTTCTTTTTTCAAATTAAAGAAAAGAAAAGGGTGATCTTTGAGCCTAGACAATAATTAAATAGCACAGACCAGCCATGTTGATTTTAGCAGAAAGGTTGGTTGAAAAATGACCTTAGAAGGAAGATGTAATGGTGTTTATTGCACTACAACTGCATTTGATTCTGACATTTGTGTTTTGGTAGTAATACAATGTATAATGCTGATTGAGATATTTTGTGGCTTGTTGTGTATTTAGTGAGATCTAAAAGACAATATTCAGGACCTGTATCTTGACAGGTAAAAATATTTTAGTCTCATTTGGTAAGGTTGATGTAATTCCAACACCAAAAAAGCTGGATTTGACATGCAGCTGAACAATGGAGTTGGCAGAGTTGAGTGCTCATTTTGCCATATGCTCAGTGTGAGACGTTTGTTTGACGTGGAAGGAAGCTGCATAACCTGGAAGTGGGGTTTGTGCATCATGTCAGTATCCACTCCTTACTCAAGTGTTTCCCATTATTGACCCAGCCATGTTTCCTGAGGGTCTCAGAGAGAATGGAGAAGGCCAACAGCGTGGCATGTGAGAGGAGAGACAAGCCATGGAAAGTGGTCCTGGTCCTCTCAGGTAGGCCAGAAGTGATTCCAGAATGTTGCTTTTCCATGAATTAGGTCTTTCCCTCTAACAGTTACCCCAAATAAAGCCATCAGCTTGGTTCTGCATATGGATGAGAATAACTTTGGCTGAAGAAGTATGAGCTCCCAGAGCATGCTCTGTTAGCTTCTGTTTTCCTCATATTACAGGCTGCATTCATAGAGAAATTAAATGCAAACACCACATTAAATCCCTTAGGAGTAAACCTTGTCATATACGGGAAGTAAATCCCCTGCTCTGGATAAGTGACAGTAAAAATTTAATATGTGCAGCTATATAGTGAAACTCAGTGTAACATTTTCAGCCTTTGGACACTGTTTAAAACAGCCCAACCTCTAAAAGCTGTGTTGAGGTTGTGGCTGTGAAGAACAGGAGCCACCCTCACTATTTACCCATCCCTGCCGCAGAGGGCAGGCGGAGGTTGCCCGATGGCAGAAGAACAGCGTTGCTCTGTTGTCTCTTTCTATATCACTGTGTCCAGGGAATGTAAAATTGTGGCAGGGAGCCTCTCTACCACCTACAGCTCTCTCCTGTGAAAGAGGCTTTCCCATCCAAGCAATTTACATGGTTTTCTGATGTCTCTGTGACCAGGCTCTTGCAAATTACTTATTACCAGGAGGCCAGAACCCAGGCTTTAGTGTTCAGTATTGGAATCAGTTGGCAGGAAAAAAAAAACATATTGCAAGGATGTTGTGAGAAAAAAAAAAGAGTGTTTTTTCCTTTGCAGACTTTTTTATGATCGTGACCTGCCAGTTTTCTGTTTTCTATTATTTTCGGTATGTAGTCTGCTGTTCATTCTTCTCCTCTCCACATTTTGCATTGAGCTACAAGACCAGAGTTGGTCCAGAAGTCAGGAGATCTTGTCCCTCTCCTCCCTACTCTATTTGCAATGAAGGACATTGAAAGAGTTTTTTTTTCACTAGGGCAGTTCTAGGGTTTTTGAAATGTTCATGAGACCTTGTTGGACCCTTGTGCAAAGGGCAGTTTGATGATATGAAATGCCTTCTTACTGTGGAGCAAGCTAAGACAAAGGAATGAGTGACACATAAGACTCAGGTATTTCATCCTTGCCTAGTTATTCTATGTTTAAATTTAGTTTATACATTTTCTTTCTCTGCCTCTGCAGTGACAATTCCATGTAAGGTGTCACCTCGGCATCACTGGGACAGTTAAGTGCTGTTCAGTGACAGAAAGGGCTGCAGAATTGGGCCTCATTTAGGAAGTGTTTTAGGGCCATCAAAAGCCTAACCCCTACTCTGGCTTCAAAGAAGTTATTGGTAAGTATTATTAGAATGTTCAAACTGGGACACTCATACCAGTGCTGGGAGCAGAAAGTGCTCCAACTTCAGTTGGTGTTTTGCGCCAGCGGGGTCTCCGGAGCAAGCTGGAGGCCTTTGAGCTCCCCTCGTGCTGCTGGAAATAAGTGGGCAAAGGTGCCTGGGAGTCTTCAGGTACACAAATCTGCTCCATCAGGGTCTGGGTGCAGATTCCTTCCCTGCACTGAGAAA